CTACTACATATTCCAACGTACCAGAGACCGGCTACTGTGACGAGTAATGTTGCACGCGGAGCGGGGTGTACGTATATTATATCGTTCGGAAATTTTGGAATTCGGATAATTGACTTTTTATCGATTATCGATATTTATCGTTTTTTCGAGCCTTTTTATATTGATATTTATTGTTTTTTAAACTGAATCGATAACTGATCATTAGTTACCGATTTGCATGGCATAAAAAAATACTAAAAGGTACAAACATTGACTCAGTACACATGGGGCATATATGCGAAGTCCATAATTACATTTTCTCAATCACCAATGTTTTTCACAGATACTCTTTCTACCCTACGGTCTGCATAGCCATCGAATAATTAAGTTTTCAGAGTGTGCAACAGTTGACTTAGATACTAAGCAAGATGCATATTCAAAGTCCATTTGCAATTCAGTCCTCTACTCCACTATATTTTACTACTCACAAAGTCGACACCGGCATAAGTATGCATGTAATAGTGGTATTTTTTTCTCTAAAACCTAAAGCATAACAAGTGTAGAAATAAATTCCAATTATTCCCCGCATCTTGTAATCCAATTCCATTAGTAGTGTAATGGGCGTAAACCAGAATTAACAGCTCTCATTACAGTTCTGTATTTCTGGGGTAGTGTTGCAGTTGTATGAATGCTTAAGTAGAAATCCTGGTTGAAATACGATCGTAAATCAGCTTTACTCTTTAAAGTGGTGCTATTTACGCTGCATTGCAGGAAACTATTTGCTTTGTGGGACACTAACATTATACAGCTACAATTACGAGTCTTGATGCTAAACATCCTCGCTGTGAGAGTCAATAATAAAAAAATTATCGAGTTAACAAATTTCATACTTGATGTTATTTCGAATGTGGTTCTTTATTCAAAAATAATAAAACTTCAGAACGTTTTTGACTCACATAACGTCGCTAGCTCGTCGTATAGGTCCTCGATTATTCCATGAACAGTGGCTGCTACGTTAGTAAATAGAATTTGTACTGCAATGGCAAACATCAAGGTTCTCACTTGTCTGACCGATAATGTAGTAAAATTGTTCCAGAAATTTCTGGATTTTGAATATTCGAACTGTAGATGCTGCCGCCTTGCGCGTCTCATGTGAGCGACCCCAGTTGAGGAGATAATCAGTCACTTCCACCATATTTTAAAGTTACTTGTTTCAATTGTCCAGATATACGTGGCTGCAGAAATGATGTCAGGCGAAGCGCATTAGATTTTACTGTGGACTTCAATATCAGCAATGTCCATGGATAGTCAAAACGTCCTAAGCAGATCGGGAAAAGACTGTTCCGCTAAAAGGTAGATCTATTTTTCACGATACTTCATTAGGTTTTGACACCTACTGACGTTAATAGCTGATCCGCAACTGATAACTTTGTTTGCCACTTTCTCTGCGTATTTATTGACCGAAAAAAGATCAAAGCCATAAGGATGTCACCAGCATGTGCCGACAGGGTCCAGCTATCAATTGACCTTCTCTTAACATTCCAGCATGGCCTTTTAGAAAAAAATATATACGGAAGTTGTAGGATCCGATATAAAGTTTTTCAGGTAATGTCTTTTTTATTTACGGGGTGCTATCACGTAAGGTTTATTTTTTCGAATACAACATTGGAAAAATACAACTTTCCTTGATAGCATTTATACAAAAGACACATTGGCTGAAAAACTCGATGTTAGACCTTCTAACTTTTATATGAAACATCTTGTTCTAGACGGGCATACAAAAAATTTGTGGGTCAACATATAGCGAAACGACCTGTACATCGCGCCTCAACTGTTGATGACGTAGTTTATAGTTAAGGGCAACTGGATCGTAAGTTTTAGGATATATTTCTGTTTTAGTTTGGTTATGGATTTTAACGTATGCCGCTGCTTTCACAAACAGCGGTATCAAAAAGGATAGATATTTTTTCACTCCACTAGGTAATGATGCCGATGTGTGATTTTGCTCTCGACAAGTGGCGGTGGTGGTCAAACTATAAAAATTGAATAGGATAACACGTAAAGGGTACAGGAAAAAAGATTAATGACAAAAATTTGGCGTTTCGTAGTTAGAACCGGCAACATGTAGTCTTAACGCAGCACAATCCCATGAGATATCGGAAACATGCAAAAAATGACAGTTCGTAGCTATGCCCAATTGAAAACTTGCCGTGCAGGGAAAAAAGATGAACGTCACAGCCGTTATATGAAAAAAGATGAACGTCCACTGATCGTCACCGTCTAAAATAAACGTTAAGTAATCGTTTTTAAGCAGTTACCATTAATTTTGCTTTGTTTGTTCTATATTCTTGTGAATGAAGATTTATTTGGTTCATTGTTTTTTCCCGTCCCAATTAAAAAAAATACTTGGACTAATTATGTGGTTGAGCTATTGAGGCTAAAAACAAATTTCTTATATTCTAGGCGCTGTGTGATAAATTTCCCGTTAAGGTAGTTCTTATATTAGAACAGATCGTAAGACCTAAGATAGGCATATTACTGGTTAATCAGCCCTTAGATTTTACAGGGTGTCGCATATGTCAAAAGGCCCATTTCTAGCCTCAATATCTCAAAACAAGTTCAATTCAGACATGGACGCTAACACATGAAAAATGTCACCGTCTAAAATAAACGTTAAGTAATCGTTTTTAAGCAGTTACCATTAATTTTGGTTTGTTTGTTCTATATTCTTGTGAATGAAGATTTATTTGGTTCATTGTTTTTTCCTGTCCCAATTAAAAAAAAATACTTGGACTGATTATGTGGTTGAGCTATTGAGGCTAAAAACAAATTTCTTATATTCTAGGCGCTGTGTGATAAATTTCCCGTTAAGGTAGTTCTTATATTAGAACAGATCGTAAGACCTAAGATAGGAATTTTACTGGTTAATCAGCCCTTAGATTTTACAGGGTGTCGCATATGTCAAAAGGCCCACTTCTAGCCTCAATATCTCAAAACAAGTTGAATTCAGACATGGACGCTAACACATGAAAAATGTCATAATCATAAGAAGAATTTCAAGATACAAGGACAAAAAGGATTTTCCATAAAAAAATGTTTGGACTGGCGTCACTATGAGATACCATGTATATCGGTAAATGTTTTTTATCTATAATTACACTTTTTTCACTTTCCTGTAATAAGGAATCTTTGGCACTCCTTCAGATCTTTGACCCACCGTGTACAACGAGTCTAGGAATCTTTAAGGTTTTAAATTCACTTTTATCGAAACTAACTTTTTGTGGCATTTTTCTTATTGCCCTGTACCCTTCACATGTTTGAAAGATTAAGGCGCGGTTCGCAAGGTATTTGAGATTAGAAAAAAGAATTTCATACTCAGAATTCTCTTTTCTTCACAAATACCCTGCGAAACTGACATTAAGCTGTTGATAACCTATAGCATGTCCGTCCACCTCACTAGCGCCATCGACTTCTAGTCTTCCAAATTACTCCTAAATCCTAAATTTAAATTTACCTAGTTTCGTATCCTCAGGTAGTATCGTAGTAGGTCAATAAGAAACAGTAAACTGATAAATTTGTTAGATTGCGGAACATTATTCTAAATCGTCTTAATTAATGATGGTGAAAATTTACCACAGGCTCTTATGGTAGGTAGTAACTGCTTGCTTCCATAGAAACCGTGACTACATGCATGTAGATGCTTCTCCTTGTAACAGTATCAAAGTGATTATTAATGCGGAATAAGCAGATCACGCTCAAGAACACATAACAGACCCGCTACAGCAATTTCGTGTTTGACTTGATTGATATTCGTAAATTGTTAATTATGATTGTAATTACTAGAGGGTATAGTGTATAGGCTGTTACTCACACGAAATCCAAGACCGATAGGCAAATTTACTAAAGGCACTGGTGCAGATCTAGAGGCATGAAGTCAATACGCTTTTTCGCTTTTCAAAACTGGTATAGACCTAGCTATTTGGGAACATTTATTAAAAAATATCTGCGCTTTACACGCAACCCTGTCATTAGTGAATAAAAGATCAGGTTCACCTCACGTTAATCCCTCTCAGGTGAGGGTTAGCTACAAACGTGTCTAGCGAAGGGATGAAATGGATCAAGTCAGTCAAACAGGTATAAGCCTGTAATCAGTTCCCGGTCGCCACCCATTTTTCAGCGTTACGATCTAAAGATTACTGCACTATATAAACTCAGGGCTACGCAACCTCAAAAACGACCCACTGCATTTCCCACCCCAATTTTTTACCACTATAACAATATTTCAAAAAATGGGAACGTCAATGAATTAAGTTTGAGCGATTTTCATTTTTTCGTTTTTTTTTCCTTATCTTGGCCTGGCCTGAAAATAAATGCCGTGTTTGTGTATGAATTTTTTATTATTTTAATATTGGCTTCCAACTTCGATAAGCCGAGTGGATCTACTATCAAGACACAGACATTTTTTATTTATTAGGCAAGGCGCGCACTGAGGTAGTGTGGTAGTGGGGTAGTGGTGAGGTATTGGAGTGGTGAGAGGCATAGGGATGGTAAAATTTGGCGTGGCGATCGGAATAGCGGCGAAGTGGTATGAAAGTGATATATAGCGCACTGAAGTGGCAAACAAGTCAGTTGATGTCACCGGTTTACCATGTCGTCCTCAGAAGATGAAGATGCCCTTTTATTTATGCAACTTGTTAATCTAAATGTTATAAGTCAGGAGACGAAGAAAAACGGCATTGGGTTCATCCGCTGTGGCAAAAAAATAAAAAGTTTGGAATTTTTAATGTTTATAAAAAGGATTTGAACTTGGGCAACCAAAAATTTAAAGTTTTCTATCGAATGAAGAAAGAGACTTTTAGCAAGTTACTGACTAAACTACGGCCTATGCTTCAAAAAAAGAATACGAACTTCAGGAAATGTGTTTCTCCCGAAGAAAGCGTTCTAATAACACTGAGGTACGTACAATGAAAAAATATAAATACAGATATATTTACCATCCAAATACAAACTTATTGTACATTATTCTTAAAAAGCAAATTCATGATCTGGTAATAATGGGTTATTATACTGAATATTTGGTAATAATGTATCTTGTGCTTGTGTGGATGTCTGACGTACTGTTGAAAACGAAATATCTTCATATGTCCGCGAATCAGCTGTCTCACATTGAGGTCGAATAGAGCTGGTACATGCTGAAGAGGAACGGGTAGAAGGTATGCTGTCTGCAGCAAGCGATGAATAACTAGACGTTGGGGAGAAGAGAGGTGCAGAGATATGAGACACTACAGGCTCATCCAAGATTTCACCGGCAAGATTTAGGACTCCCACTTTATATTTTCTTTTCTGCTTGTCTGTCATTTTTTTTAAATCGGGCAATAGACTCAACAAAAACTGCACATCGGCATCATCATTAGTGAAAGCAGGTGGTTTATACGGTGCTTGCTTCTTTTTTTCAAAAAATTCAAAAGCAGATTTGTTAACATCTGCCAAAGATATTTGATTCGGAGTAGTTTTATTTCTTTTAGGATTATTTACACTAGGTACTGACGAACTGGATACACTTCTCTTTTGAGTTTTTTGCTTTGGATCTCCAGAATCATTTTTTTCCAAACTGTCTGTCTGAGATACAATAATATTTGATACAGGCTCGTTAAATTCTTCAGGAATCGACTGTTCATCATCAATATCGTCATTTCTCCCTTGGTTGTTTTTGTAATTTCCAATTTTTGGACTTCCTAATTGTTGAGTTTAAAGCTCTTCGGTCTCTAGGTCCTCCGTAATTGATTCTTCATGAATTATATCGGCCGTTTCAATATTCTTTGGTGCGTCAACATTTCCTTTCGGTTGGCGGGACTTAGTGAACGGTAAAACAAAACATAAGTACTCCGAGAGATAGTATGGGCGTTTTACCGATGCTCCAGATCCAGATGGCATGTATGTCTTTAAATGTTTCGTGTAACTTCCACGTAAATTCTTCCACCTTTTTTTGCAATCTGCGATGGTAGCTACAATAAAAACACATCATTAAGATATACAAATGAAGCGTGCTGAGCATAATGTGTGTGTAAAGTTTACTTTATTGCTTGCTATTATTATAATTATTAATAATATTGTTATTAATATTCACTTTTTTACGCTTTCGAACACTATTAAAAAAGTGAAATAACGCCAATTGATATGTAATTTTTTATATTTTTAAAACCAAAATGCCGTGATGTGGGGAAAACCACCACTTCCACCACTTTGTTTGTTAAGTACCTACTTAATTATTGTTTTTCTTTCCAGGTATTTTGCAACCGGCTGCAATCTAAAGGCACTATCATGTTATTTTTTGAGAGGTCATACTACCATTAGAGAAATAATTGCAAGAACTTCAGTAGTAATTTGGAAAGTTCTACAACCAACTTATCTTCCTAATCCTACCAAAGAAACATGGGTACAATCAGCTCGAAGATACTGGGAGTTATGGAATTTACCAAATTGTGTGGGGAGTATAGACGGTAAACACATCAGGATCAAACGTCCACCAAAATCAGGTTCCGAATTTATTAATTACAAAGGGTATTTTTCCATTGTTTTGATGGCTGTATCAGACGCAGATGGCTGTTTCTTGACCATTGATGTTGGTGAGTACGGCCGAAATAGTGACGGGAGGGCATTAAAAGAAAGTAATTTTGGAAAGAAATTAGTTAACAGCACGTTAGACTTGCCAGACCCATCTCCATTACCAGGACAAGACACAAATTTTCCATTTTATTTTGCTGCAGACGAAGCTTTTCCATTGATGTGTACTATAATGAAACCCTACCCTAAAAGAGGCTTAACAAATAGAAAAAGGGTATTCAATGGTAGGTTATCAAGAGGTCGCAAATCAGTTGAATGCTCATTTGGAATGATGTCATCCAAGTTCAGAATTTTACACACAACAATTGGTCTTAATATAAATACAGTGGACAATATTGTTAAAGCAGTGTGCTTACTGCATAATTTTATTAAAAAAGAGGAAGGTATATTTTCGCGCCCGCGAGGAAAGAAAGGAAATGATGATGACATAGAAGTAGAAAATGAGGAACAGCCTTATCCGAGACTCTCAAATCAAAGAAGAGCTACCAATCCAGCAATTGCTACACGGGAGAAACTTTGTGATTTTTTTTTAACAGTGGACGGGTCACTTAAAGGTCAAAAACGATTTTGTGTATGAAAACAAGAAGATAACAATATTAACAGAATAAAAAGATAACTAAATAATGCCTTTAAATAAAAAAATATATTTTTCAAGGAACCACATTTTTTTATTACTTACCTCCTTCCCCAATGTCTTTTGCAATTTTCGCCCAAGCCCGTTCTTGCACATGGATCATATGATAATCCTCCCGTGTATTGTCATACAGACAGGGATATGCCTCTACAAGGGCTACGAAATTAATGTTCAATTCGTGGTCGTCTCGCATGATTCACTCCAGGAAAAAGTAAACAAAAACCCACGTCGCGTCGTCGTCACCAACCGCTTGCCAGTCGAAAATTAAACTTGCTCGAGATTAGTGGCACCAGACTGACATCACGCCACCTACAAAATGCCACGCCACCGCTACTCCATTTTGATACGCGCGTCTTCATTTGTTTATATAGGCTTTAGCGATTCCACCTGCCACTTGATCACCGCGCCACTACCACGTCACTTGCTTACCATCTCAGTGCGCGCCTTGCCTTAGATTGGTTTGGACAGCAATAAGAAGTACATTTTCAGATCTGTCGGCATCCGAACGTGAATAAAGAAACCTACGACTTAACAATCACATGTTTTGTGCAAAATCTTGCCGAGTGCCTAAGATAGTCATCAGCTTTAAAAATTATGAATTACATACAGTTTCGATGTATGTGTACAGTATACACTAACTTCAGATAGGTTATAATTTTATCCATTGGCAGATATCATTCCCTAGAAAATGAATAACCCCTTTTCGGCGTCCAATACAAGCATTAATCTTCTTTTGCATAATTCCGACTGACACGAAAGGCCATTTATAAAATACAATAAATGGTAACTAATTGCCAGTCAAACAGAACAATAACAATACACTCAGTTCTAAATGTTTCAATTCTGAGAAATGCAGTCAACGGGCAATCGGCATTTGAATTAAAAGGTCGTACCTTTTTAGAAGCAATCGAGGCAAAGCTATTTATGAGGTAAATATAAAGGCAACAAAAAAGGACAGTGCGAAGTTATAATTTTTTTGTATCTAATGAATTAATTTTGTAAAACAACTCCTGTTCTGTCATCATATCCTCATATAATCATTATATCTTCACACGCAGGGCATTGTATGCGATAAACAATTACTCTGCGGAAACTACTGTTTGTAGTGAATCAATCCAAAAGAGGACTGCACAAAATGTATGGCAGGAGAGTATACAATGGAATTGGCTGGATTTATAGATACTATGTTGTGCATTATGATTGACATAATGTCTTCACGAGCACAAAGTTTTTTGGCCAGTCTTAGAGATATCAAGGACCAAAAGGTAAAGTCTAGAAGTACACGTTACTATATTTACAAAAAAGAAAGAGCTCTGCGCGTGAAAGCTAAATCTTAGACCGAATCCTGAAGCTGCTCTTGCTCAAAGATACCAAACTATAACCATTTTCAACAATTTACTGACTAAAAATGTTCCCTATTGGATTTCTGAAGCCACCATATTGAAGGTTCATATGCATTGCTCACATCATTGTCAACTATTGCCACGAGAGATCACTATGCAGTGCCTCAGATGCACCACATAGGCGCCATAGGGGTCGATAGATATCCTAAGCCGCATCCGCTGCACATCGTCGGAAAATAACGTCTAATCTGCAAAGGTGTACTATTCGACGCTGGTGGGGTTTCTATCGTTTTATAAACACTGTTTGAGCCGACACGTGGGAATATTCCTGCCCTGGGATCACTCGGAACGAATCTCTCTTCATGGGACTAGACCTTCCTGAGCCAAAAGGTAAGTACTTTTTCTTCTCTTCATTATATTGTACCTACTTTTATTGCGCGGCGTTTTGTTAATACTCTTTAATCTTTTACTGTTTGCCCAACCCAGAGCAAACTTGCTTGATGAAAACTGGCACAGTTTGCACAATTAAGTAAATTCTGAGAAATGTAACTGATCTTACTGGTACTTTTGAAAATTTTGCATTAGATAGAATAATCTTACCTGATTGCCCAAACGGGAAGATCATACTGATAGTACCAAACCTTTTTATCAAGCTTTTAGCGATTCAATTTAATGGTTTCGATTTCAGTCCCGGAGTTAATTCCTCTCATTCTTCCACCACTCCTTTTTTACTCAGAGCAATTTCAAAACACAGTATCGGTGTCAATAGGCGCTACAAAAAGAAAAGTTGGAAAAAGTGGCGAAGATATTAACTAATACCGAAAGAGCTATAAGTATCGAATCGTAATTGCATTGTCTTTTGGGCCATTTGTATTATTGTGTATAAGCTGGACTTACACATTTTTCGGCAATCAGTGGGTTCAGACTTGAACTAACCCAATGGGAGAGGAGTAATTTACAAATTATCTTGACACTGCTTACGGTGGAGGTAGTTTTGCTGCCTTAAATGCATAACATCTTACTTTCTTCTATTAGACTAAATCTTTTTCCACATATTCTTCAACGTTGTTTAATGCTACCTTTGCTCTCCCTTCTGCGATGAATTTAACATTAACTAGCAACTTAACATGAATCCGAATCTTGTCCATATCCAAAGCTCCACAAATCAATCGTTGCCTTTTTTTGGCACTAGGACATTGCGTTCCATTAGCCAGATCCAATCTTGTATATGTATATCTCTAATTATGGACAAGCACACGACGTCACAACATCCATGGCGAGGGCGAGATTCGAACTCGCGGCCCGACCAGTCGGCTGATCAGTAGCACGACACTGTGACCTACGCGGCCAACCGAGGTACCAAAATCATTGCCTTGTAGATCGTTACTCGTCTGGAGTCGCTGGAATTGAAAGCAATAGTGCGAGGATCCTTATTGTGGTAGCGGCGACTGGTTCAAATTCTACTTTGAAAATTGATATCTAAATGTAAAAGTACAAAATACAGTATACATATAAAATATTTCCTGTATCTTTGTGCATCCCACAAGGGGGGTCATTAATTTGTATTTTTTTTGCGACCTCCCCAAGCAGGTAGATGCTGAGAAAGTAGTGATGTTTCCAGATACCACATCTATAACAGTGTACTAGGAATCCCCAGATGAGATTAAAGGGAAAATAAACAGTGTTTTGTCTGAGATGGAGTTTGTCTGTAACAAAAATCAACTAACATTGAATAAGGACAAAACATTACTAATAGAATTTCCCGTTAACAAGCAATTGAAAAAACCATTTTTCTAACGCAATGGGGTATATTTGCAATCCGGCGCGCGGCGTTAAGTTATTAGATACTTTAGACTCTGATCTCAAGTTTACCAGCCGCATTAAGCGTGTCTGCAAAAAAACTGCTATTTTCAAAATTTAACCCTTCGCGATCCAGGATGGTCGTTTAAGCCTATACTATGCATTTGGTTTTAGCCATTTTTCCTTTAATGCTGGCACTTTAGGAGTGTCTACTGGTAGTGAAGTGATCTCTTAGCTCAAAGGGAAATCATTACGCTCATTTTTTTATACAGGGTGACAACTCGTCATCAAAAATAAAACATCATACACAGGACCACATTTTGAGGGGGGTCTTCTATGTAAGAGTTTTTCCTCGAGGGTTTCATTAAAAATATACAGGGTGTTGAAGTTTGAAAATTGAAAACATCTTTTTTAATATCTTTAAAGCCGTCAACTGGAATGAACTAAAATTTGGTATGCGGATTTACCTAAGTATTGTCCACATTTAAATGTCTTTACTCAAAACTAATGTGCACCAGTAACGGAGATACAGGGGATTAGTGGCACTATTTTTCAAATGAAAACAATACGCCACTATTTGTTTTTTCGAAACCCGCAATTTTTCGAATTTTATCTTCAATTTGCTACAAATAATTACCCTTGTGTTTTTCCTTAAGGTGCATAAATTTCGTAAAAATAAAAGAAACAAATTAGATAATCAAAGCTTTATTTCAATAAATGTTAAAAGATACCACCATTCTGACTGATACAAGTGCGGCATACTTTTGACAAAGAAAAATGTATTTCCGCAAAATTTCTTGTGGCTTGAATTTGATGAAACGCATTATCTATTCCTTCTTGTAACTAATCAACAGTATTAATTTGTTAAGCATACACTAGTTGCTTAAAAGCGCGCCAAAAAAAGAAATCCATGGGCTTCAAATCAGGAGAGCTCGCAAGCCAATGTACGGGTCTGTTTCTGCCAATCCACTCTGGTTGCTAACGGAACATCATCTAACACATTTTCTATGTAATTCATACACAGTGGGCCATTGAAAATGCCTAATTTCTAGAAAATCTGTGTTGAAACTGGTGGATTCTTATAGAACGGGGATTTTCTAATAACCAAATATGTTCATTATGGGAATTAAATCCTAAATCCACTCCTTGCGAAAAACAGAAAACCAAATCAATAGAATATGCATTTTGATTATGAAATTGCAATAACCATTCGCAAACATTTCGCAGTTGCACTTCGTTGCCGGGTTGCAGACATTGCGCATTTTGCCAATGGTAAGTATGTAAAACTACCCGGTTCAAAGTTCTCCACGCAGGACTTTGGGATCATGGCTGCAATCCGCCTAGTACTTGTACTAGGAAATTAATTACTTACAGTTTTTTTTGAACAGTATCTTGGACACCATGGCCTCTAACTCCAGGAAGTTTGGCATTTCCATATCGCCGAAGTCTTATAAATGAACGCGTAGAAACATTTGGAGTAGGTTGGCGTCCGTTAGGAAATCTACGTTGATACTCCCGACAATCCGCTAAAGCATTTTCATTACAAAACCCGTACACAAAAATAATATCGGCATACTCATTATTGCTAAATTCCATTTCACATCACTCAAGAATGGAAAAAATTAACTTTTGACTTGACAGTTACAGAAAACAAAATTGTAGTAATAACGATAACAACCGTATAACACATATCATTGACAAACTATCTTCCAAGAAACGTCAAGTTGGTATCAAGGTCTCATATTTTATTTTGAAACTAATTGTATCTCGGCTCCTCATGAATGATCTCATTTGTTTTATTTTTATTTTTACGAAAACAGTGCTCTCTAGGAAGAAAACACAAGAGTAATTATTTGTAGCAAACTGAAGGAAACATTCTCAAAATTGTACGTTTCGGAAAGAAAGCAGTTGCGTACTATCTGTATTTGGAAAAATAGTGCTACTATTCCCCTGTATCCCCGCCACAGGTGCACGTTGATTTTGAGTAAAGACTTCCGAATGTGGACAATAC